GCCTCTGCTACGCTAAGCCTAAGAAAGAATATTGTGCTTACTACTACACCTACCTTTACTGCAAAATACCTACTTAAAAATTAAGTAATCTAGCAATCTATTACTGCATAAAAGGAAGCCCTTCCTATAGAGTCCTAGTATAAAGTAATCCTACAAAACATCCCTATATCTCTTGCAACAAACTAAGACCTATAGGTGCTAAAGATAGAAATTGCTACCTTTAATAGAGGCCTAACTATTATTAGAAACCTATTCTAGATAACAAGTAGAGATAAAAGACAGAGACAGCAACTAGGCTCTGCCTGTGTAGCATTTGCTACAGAGAAGGAAGCACAACAGGCTATTAGAAACAGACTATACCTGCTTAGAGCTAGCATTAAAGCAGAAAGATTTATTGCTACACCCCCTTCTACACAATGCCAAAACTGCCAGCGCTACGGCTACACAGAGACTAGGTGCCTCTATAGCACTACCTGCAAAATCTGTGCAAAGGAGCACCCTACAGCACTCCACAAGTGTAACACGTGCAATGCTAGAGGCAAGACCTGTGCACACACTCTACCTATGTGCATAAACTGCAAAGAGGCACACACTGCAGATAGCACACAATGTGCAGCTTATAAAGCTACACTAAACGTGCAAACAAACCTAGAATGCTAGACAACCTAAAGATCCTACAAGTAAATCTAAACAAGAGCGTACAAGCAATAGAGAGCGCCTTGCAACTTGCAGTAGAACTAGTAATAGACCTTATACTAGTATAAGAGCCTTACCTTATTCCTACTAGACAATCTCCTTTAGATTACTTAGACACACGCTCTATAAATCACCCCTCCTTTACACAAATCCTTCCTTTGTTACAAGACTAAAGCATAAGACTACGTGTTTTAGTCTACTCTGCACGCTCTATACAAGCGCAAGTTACTATATTAGTAGACACTAGTCCTAATCCTAACTTCCTAGCTATTATAGTTAAGAGCTCTAGAACAACCTTATCTATTTAAAATGTCTACAACTAGCTAGACACATAAGGCATTACTATAATAGAGAGAAAGCTCCTTAGAACCTCTATCTTGCCCTCCGCCATCCTGCTTAGCGACTTTAATATTAACCACCTATGGTGGGACCCTATAGTAGCTACTATAACACTAAGAGCAGCTAGTTTTATTACTTGGCTAGAAGAACAAGACCTAGAGCTACTGAATAGCCCTAGTACAGGCACTTTCTTTTAGCCTAATATAAATAGAGAGAGTGTCCTAGACCTAACCTTTGCTACAATACAGATAGCAAACCTTATAGAAGACTAGCAAACGCTAGGTAGACTTAGCTCTAACTACCTAGGCATCTTATTTACAATAAGGACACCTTAAACACA